TTAGACACGTCTATATAAGTGCGACACATAAATTATCGGTATTTGACCATTTTCGTATCTTATTATACATTTATATTGAAGGGCGATGAACTGCTGATCTAGAATGTGGCATTTTTTTTTTTTTTGAAAGCAAGATTATCTGCCTTTACAAGGCTTTCATCAGGGGACATTTTGGATTACTGCTTTTACTGATAACGGTGCGGTGCGAAACAACAGAATGGTTGATAACTGTAACGGATTGCTAAACTTTTGCGTACACGTCATATCTGTTCAGATGCAAACACTTTGTATTCTTCGAAACTAAATCACTTTTCTTTATCTGCAGACAAAGAAGTTCCACAAATTATTTGTCCCGATAGCGTGCCGTCCAAGGAAACAGATATCGGAGAAGCGGTTGTCAGGTGGTCGCCAATGCCATCAGCTACTGATAATGTGGACAGCTTTACTATCAACGACATTGCATGTCACGATGGTGCAGGGGATGTCGTGGTGTCTAATGGTACTTATTCATTGGGCACCACGACAGTGACATGTCGTGTAAGTGACAACGCTCATAACGAAGGATCGTGCAAATTTACCATCAAAGTTGTAGGTGAGTATTACAAATTATACATGTACAGGGTGAGTCCAAAAAAGTAGCTTTCATATGGTTTGGTTTAAAAATGCAGAAGTTACTGTTCACACGATAAAAACATGGCAGTGGTTCTTTTGTGTACGGCTGCATTGCCTATCTTCAACTGTAAGGCATGGTGCCATATGTCGCATCGTCTGCATCAGATAATCAAAGCCAGTCCTTTTCCATCAGTCTTACAAATTACCTTAATTATTTTTCAGTGAAATTTTAATTATATGTTGTAACACATATGAAATTAGTAAACCCAAATGGAGACCTAACATAGTGTTCGTTTTGAGCAAACTGGTGGTTTTTAAGAATCACATTTTGTGTCCACACCGTTGACTATTATTATTGGGAATTGATGGTGAGCAAGATTTTTTTTTTATATTTACACTATATGAGTGTGAAGCCATATTTTGACATGTCAATCGTTTTTAACAACAAACAAGAACTTTACGGGAACCTTGTCGTTATGCTGGTATTGATATAATTTTCAACGTGTTCTTCACTTGAAATATACGAACGACAGGTCCATTAAAACGCTAAATATAATGCACCCAGCATAAAATGAAGTTTCAAGACTAATTTCGTATATAAACATTGACAATAATATTGGGGGGAAATGGAATTACAGCGATCAAACAAAACTGTTGAAGTACTATACAAACTGTCACAATCCTGACAAGAATTGATTGGGAAGGGCAAGGGGTTTCCCCTAACGCCATCAATAAGTAGATATGGTTTCATATAACTGTTCCTCTATATTTGTATCTTCATCGAAACTGCCTCAGAAGTGGTACTTCACCCATTTCATTTTGTGGTTCGTGTGTACATAACCAAATTGACTTTTTTTGAGTGTTTGTACTCCTTTTCGAAATAGACAAATGATACTTCTTTAAGGGCTGCATGAGGCTTATACTGTGGAAATGAATTGGAACTTTTTAGTTTCGGTTTTTATAATTGTGGTGAATCTATACACTATACGTATTTTGAAGATGTGCGTTGCAATTCGTCAGTACATTTAAAAAGAATTAAGGACATTATCCGTAAGACGGATTTCCTTGATGAAACATACAAACAAATAAATAGCATTACATGCTGATGCATTATGCTTTATCTTTGCAAGAACTCTCTTGCATTAGCTGATTAGCTTATCTTAAACACATTTTCCTCTTTCCCGTCGCTTGAAGGTTGTCAAGTTGGTCAACACAAATGCTCCAATGGCGTGTGCATTCCTCGTTCCCAAGTCTGTGACAACTTTAATGATTGTGGTGACTACGATAACTCAGACGAGAAGTCTACATTGTGCGTATCTGAATGTAAGTATTGATTTAATCCTCAAGGAGAGATATCACTGACGTGGTTGTATCATGTCTGGGATTGTAATTGTATTGATCTATTGAATGACCAAGTGCTCAGGCTACAGGTATGAATGTTGAGATTAGATCAGATAAGAATGATTAGATCAGTTGTTTCCTTGTCCAAAATCAGAGAAGTAAATAAGTTCTGTAAAGTTTGAAATTCGTCCTTACCGGTACTAGTTTTCACTCGTTTGACATGGATTCAGTTGAGACAACTGTGTTAATCTTTCAAAATTAATACCAACGCTTTTGCAAAAATGGTTGGTACTTTGTTGGTTCTTCTCCTAAAAAACTCCGCAGGACCGTTTTAACAGTTGTGTTGTATAACTTCCACATGATGTTTAAGAGTTTCCAGCAACGATAAAATATGCAGATGTGTACACTCCAAATAAATCCTCCTAAAGAAATTGATTTTACTTTTGTTTAATGTACAGCCTATAGTTTCTGCCAAGCTCACGGTAATGCAAGTAAACCATGCATTGACCGAACTGGAATGCTGAACAGTAGTGATTCTTATTCGGTCAACGGAACTGCGGTTCTCACTTTAACAGCGCCAGCAGATTTCTCGAAGTCTACGTACCTTAGTCAGGTGAGTTTAAACAGCTTTGCCGACCTATATATATGCGTGACAACAGATCAAAAAGACTGTTTTATTGGGAAAAAATGGTACGGTACCGTAATCTATGTTGTGATGACAATATGACAATTTTATGAAATACTCTGAAATGAAACAGATCTAAATGTTATATTGGTCTTATTGTCACATAAGTCCTATTTTTTCCAAATTACTCTCTGCGTCTAGGTTGCCCTAGTCGTGAACGACTTCCCCGGATTGTTTAACAAGACAGTGTTGGTTAACATTTCATTGACTGACACTACACATACCTCTAGAGTTTGGGTAAGTTCTAAAGAAATTAAACAGCAAATCTTAAGAACTAAACTAGAATTTAGTGTTGAATACAACAGTGCCTTTACGATTGATTGTGATTTAAATTTGTCACATGATATACAGCATATCACAGTCCATTTTTTTGTTGCCTGACATGCACTTTAGGAATCATTCAGAAGCTAGAAAAAGTTGACAGTATTCTCTTGGTCTCCACTTGTAAACTATAGGCCTTTTTGAAATTCCAATTCTTACCTACTTTGCCTGTTTGTATCTAAAAAAGGAAGTATCATGACAAATATAATACATTGAATTATTTTGCCGTGCAGATAAACGAGGACGTTGAGATGGTGTCAAAGGAACTTCGCGTTCCAATCCTCGTTGATCCCGGCGAAAACATCAGCGTTACCATGGAGTACATCACAGATATTCAGAACAACCCTCCTATCGCAATCAAAGTTAACTGCTCTAGCTGCCTCTTTCTACATTTTCAAGCGTACCTTAGTGGGTGCGAGTGCTTACCAGACTATGCAGCGTGGAGGAAGGGCATACAATCCGCGCAGTACATATTCAATACTACATGCGGTGTACCTGACACCAATGAGATATTCTCATCTGCATATGACAAGTGCCTTGGTGAGTTTGATATTGGTTATTGGGGATAACGATTCTTTAGAGGAATGATAAAAACAATGTATTACACGATTGCAAATCCTTAAATACCTCGCTTGGCACATTTTTAACCCTCCGACGCAGAAACTAGCCCTTTTGGGGACCCAATTTGGTTAATTACCTTAATAAAAAAAAAAATTCCAACCAATTCTGGTGATCTTCCATCTAATCCTAGCCAGAGACACCCACTACGGATATATGCAGTCACCTTTAGTGTGTGACCCCGGGTCAGGCATATCTGAGCCTGACAACCTGGGCTGCCCATATACACGTGCACAAAACAAAGTCACTTGCGGGTAGCCAAGTGCACGACTTGACCACAGACTATGTATACAACATCTGTTTCCTTATTTAAAGTCTACAGACATGTCGAAATTGTATACATATAGATACTGTGTTGTGTAGCCTCAAACCAAGGCGCTAAATGTCTGGGTCCCCGGAGGGACCCCTTACTGTAAGCGTGTTAGTAAATGTGCTTTCTGCGTCGGAGGGTTAAGTGTGCAGAAATGTTTGCACGAGTGCTCTTTAAAACCGGCTCAAACAAAATCAGAACTCGAGTGAAGTGTGAGCCATGTTATGTATAAAAAACAAAGCAGTACACTCTTTAAAAAGGCCAGCGCAGTGCAGTATTAATATTATAATGAGTGCATAATAAAACGGTTTACCTATAGAAATCTTCGATTTAGGCCGAATGAGCAATGCAAGTTATTTTTCCTTCTAGGTCAACCGTCTTTCACTTATCTCAGCCCTGATGTGTCGTCATTTCTAGATGACGGGGTCACCCTGTCATGTCAAGCAACTGGTGACATTCTTCCGCGTACGCGATGGGTAGACGCGAAGGGATCCACACTACAGTCCAGCCTGAATTCAGCCTACCTGAAGGTTGTAGTTGCCGACACTCCTCAAAGGTAACATTCGTTAAGTTCGTTAAGTAAAAAGAAGGTCCGACTCGTGGAGGTGCACGTTCAGCAGAACATTTTCTCTAACACTTACATGTTACATCAAATCCAGTATTATTGTGATTCATACATCGTCAAGTCAACAATGAACAAAGATTGAGATACTTGGGATTGTGCGGAGGAGTTGCAGTAATTATGACTGATAGTAGGATTACTTATTTTCCTTAGTTTTAAAAAAAAATGAATAAAAGTGCTGCAAAGTGCTTACAGGCAGGCTTTACCAGAAATACAAATAAAAAGAAAAATACAAGTCATATCATGTCGATCTTAGCATGACCTTGTCAGAGGACAAACGTATAAGAATAGGGTATAGTAAATGTAACGGTTAAATGTCTGCAAGCACACAGTCCTAAAAATGTCTTTCCTTCAACGTTGACTAAATATACATGTATATGAATTACAAACATGCAGCGTAACACGTGTATCATATAATATCACATTATTTTACTTAGGTTTAGATGTGTGCTCGATGACGTGAAACCCAGTAGAGAGGTTACAGTAACAAAATGGGGTAAGTGATGAAGTGACATGCATTTTCATAAACAATAAAACATTACTGATCGAATTCGTGATTGACTTTTGATTGATTCAATTTGATTGATTTTTCATGAACCTATTTCAGCATCACTACTTACATAATGTTGATAAGGCAACGCAGTTTAACGATTCACAATATCAAACAAGGTCTTCAATCAATTTAGACTTTTAGCAGCCACAAATTGTTTCTTTCTTTCATTTTGCAGATTCTGGTTGCAGGGACATTTACTTTTCTGAAGAACTTAAAGTGTATCGTTCTGCGCCTCGATGCTATTCCTCTCATGTTCTCAATTCGAGCTGTTTTGATTACAACTTCAATTTCAATATAAACCGTCCCGCAATCGCTCACAAGTTGAGCATAACATTCAACTCAGACACCGCTTTACTGTTGAAAATAATCCCAATCATTGCGTACGATGTTAGGCTAAGGGTGCCCGGAATAGAGTATCTTCTGTACTATTACAATCAAGAAGAACATAAAGACGGCTACGGTAAAGTGAACAACGTGAACGATACTGCAGTGAAAATAAACCTGCAACTTGTTCCCCCAGTTGCTTTGAAAACTGGGTTCTTTAATATGATCTTCGCAATCATGCCAAGCCAAGGCGTTGAGGATTTGCTGCAACGGATATTGATGACAGCAGAAGTCTCAGTGATAGAGTGCGACCAAGGAGACGGCTGCGAAGGATTCTTCAAAGAGTGGTCCAGACTTGAGACGGAGTTCAAGGAATCGAAATGCGGCAATGGACTGCAGCAGGAATATCTGTCATATCAGCAGTGTCGGGAAACGGCAGAACCTGGACCAGGTAACTTCACTTGGCTCTTGACTTTCATGCGCGTTGCCCCCCCCCCCCCCAGCTTTACCCCGGCTGCCTTAAATAATTGTCCATCTCTCCGTGATTCCTCCTCTGATTTTCATATAAAAGAAATTTTTTTATACTTTCTCTTTTGTTTATTATAAATATTTTCTATTTATAGCTCCCATCGTTTCATCGTCTGCCCAGTATTTGATCGAGGTTCCTAGTGACTTGCCAAGTGGGCAACCTTTCCCAGTTGAGTGCCACATTGAGAATGCCGCCACTTACGAGTGGTACCGAACCAACGCTGACGGCCAGCGTGATTTCGTTACCAATGGCTACGCTCTCATCTTTCCATCGTTTGAAGAACTCCGGGACCAAGGAGCTTATGTTTGTGTTGGAAGGGGCAGAGGACTGCTCATCAATGTTACCGCGGAGTATCAAGCAGTCGTGATGAAATCAGGTCAGGTTTTGGGTTGTTGGTTCACTGGTGCAATACTCTGGTGTGAAATTGAAACATTCGAGTTTCGACACCGCTATTAAATGTGTGAATAAACTTAACGGGTCATAATTGAGATATTATTTGCCGCAGACCAGTCGACAGCGACCACCAACATACACGTGAATGCATACTTCCCCTCCCAGAATAGAAAAGTTCCTGCATAACGATGAATGTCTGGCTAGTAAAAAGACGAAAGTCCGAAAAACAAGATAGAGTAGTCCAACTCTCCTGTAGTCCTAAGGATCGACCAGCGATACACGATTACGTATAAAAGACTGGTAAAGTTAACAAACTTTTGCAAACATTTACACAATTTGCATGCGATTGGATCGTAACTAATTATTTACTGAGTGGTAAGATGTTCACGGTCAAGTTCTCGGAAATTATCCAAACAACCAGGGACCCCCAACAACAACAGGGAAATTTCACCTCGATAAATTTTAAAAGGAGTGAATAATACACGTATATTGGCTTATGTTTTTCTTATTTCAAGGTATCACTACATTGATGGCCAACACGACATTTGTTAATGAGGTATTTACCGACGATCTTCGTGATGCATCTAGCGTCGCTTTCAAGAATCTGACGGATAAAGTACGCAGCAAGGTATGCCTTTTATCTGATATAATGTTTATGAAAGGCGCCGACATCCCCATTCGTCGTGTTTGCTGGAAAAGCATCGTTCCTGTCGGCCATATCGTATCATTGTTGACAAATGAGGCCACCGTGAACAGCGCCACCTTTATTTTCAGATGATGCCCTGTCCACATTCCGATTCGCCTTTCCGTCGAAAATTGGTGACGTCACTGCCTGTGGGGGGTCTGTAATGTTAACATCCGTGTTCAAAGTTGGTAATCTTTGACAAAATACGACTTGCAAATGCAAATAAGATGTAGTATGACAACGTGAAGGATATTACCAACCGAATAACAACCAACCGACTAACGTTTTGAATGACAGAAGTATAACACTGTAACAAAAATGCCCAAATTGACGGTAATAATGCACTGCATACGGCCTTTCACAGTTTTGCCCGTGAAATGCAACGCGTCCGTAATTAACGGTTACTCACGGTGAACATCTACACACTTTTCACCGTAAAAAGTACGCCATTTTTTTCACCGTGTATTGTTTAGTCTATATTACTGGATGACTTTCCAGTTGACCACCGACCGTCCGTCTTCTCGATTATGGACTCCCCAAACAAACTGTCAAACAATTAATTTTAAGCTAAGTCACAGATTCGGACAACAAACCGGAAATTCACAGTACTATAATTGAAAACTTATAATGGGCTTTCAATAATTATTACCTCGTGGTTTTCGATAGTTACATTGCGAGTTAACTACCCGGATTGAAATGTTCCAATGTTAATATGCCTCGAATTTCCATCGGTTTCCTTAGTGGGAACTTATTGTGAATAAGCAATAATTTATTTCTGAGAAGATAGCACTGTCTAATTATATATGTTTCATGTTAAGGTAAACATTGTCCACATAAATCGTATGCCTTCGGATAAACTGTACTTTTGCTTGAGAAAGCAGCCCTATAATATTTTCTCGTATAACACATTGTCTTTACAGCTGCCGTTGAATACGATTTATCCGTCTGTTGTGAGCTACGACATCGTGCGCTTCTATAACGGCAGTGTAATCGTTGATATCAAAGTTGTCGTCCATTCTCCTAGCAATGTGTCTGACGCTGATACTATTTCATCATTACAAAGAGCGATGTCTACATATGCCTCCGAGAATTCAGACATCGGTCTGGATCCCGACACTGTTAAAGTGGTGTCACTCTGTAAGTCAAACGAAACAGTTTCTTTTTTTAATCATCGCTTTTGCTAACAAATTTTCAAAAAGAAATACTTTAGGAATACCAGCATGACAATCCTCAGAACGTTTATCGGCAAAGTTCTTATGCTAATTAAAAGCAAACGTTCTTTTTTTGTTCGTGGGAATTTTTCTTAAATGCTTCGTAGATAATTTGTGTTCAAATGGACTGAAGGTGACGTTTGAAAATTAAATTTAAGAAATGTATATGAAGTAACTGTTGCAAAGGTTTTTGCTATTTACAGCATCCTGTGCTCGTGAAATTCTTGAACTAGAAGGCCAGAACGTGACCTTCCCGCAAACAAGAATTGGCCTGAACGTTGAATTACTGGAGGAATGTGCCATTGACGGAAAACAGGGTAAATACAATAAACAACTTAATTTAATCAACTTTACTTTATGAACGGTTACCCTCTCAATCCGTGCATTTAATATGGTGTGGGAATGCTATTAAAATACGCAAAAGAGGGGTATGCCTTCCGTTTTGATTCATGGAATAAAGGGCTTAATTTTGTTTTATTGTTTCTACCGCAAAGACATCACGCGTTTATCATCATAAGATAAACACAATGTCCTGGTTAAGACAGACCTCTCATGCAGGGGTAACCACCGGATTTGACTTTAAATTGTTATCATTACGCAAGCTAGGTACGATATAAAATCAACAAAATGGACTTTCAATTATTTTTTAAAACTATTGCTCAGGACGGGTTCTGATTTCTCGAGCATGCTCCGGGGATTTTACCCAGGGTGCACAGTGGCTTGTACCCGTGGTGGGCAATTGCAGCGTTGATGTCAATGGTCAGCTGGATTTGTTGAAAAAGGTAAGTTCAATAGATGCAGAATAAACTTCATTTAGTATGGATTCCGTACTCAAAGGGCGTCCGGAGCTACGGCAGCGTCTGTTGTGAATTTGTTTCTGAAGACATTGACAAGAGATGTAGGCAAGAGATTAAGATGCGGCTTTTGTTTCTTGCAAATGACTAAACACGTCAGCTACCTTTCGTGAAGGAGTTCATTAAGGCCTACATACTATGAGGTTGAGTAGTTTATTTTTGTGTTTCATTTAATCAGACATGGACCTTACATTCCACTATTAAGCATGAGAGTGTAAAGCAATGGATCTATTAAAAATAATTATTCTGGAGAAAGGAATACTAGCCTATTCGATCCTTATAAGCCTCAAATCACCCAAGCCTAGAATAGCAAAAATATTAAACAACAAAACGCTTTTCTTTAAACAACCAAAAGGACAATAATTACACACATCAAAAAATGAATTTAGTTCTAGTGTATAATACATGTATTGTTTGTTTCAGATAACGGTAACAAGTGACAATGTAATGGAGGTGTCTGAGTCTCTGGAATCCCTCACCAGCGATGCCTCATCAGTCAACGGTGAATCTGTGGTATTAGTGGCTGATATCCTGGATAACATCGTCAAAATTCAGAATCCTTCCCCAGAAGTAAGTTTTCAAACAAAGGGGTACATGTATATAGATAGCTTAAGTATGTAACTTTACCCTGGATGATTTTGATTTTCAAAATAGAATGTGGGTAGAGAATGTTATCATAAAGCTTTACAATCATATAAAAATATCCAGTATACAAATGTAACCGCGATTTCTTAAATCGAGTGGATTGGATTTTTAGTGCCTGTTTGATTCTGTTGGCTTTCCCAGAATATTCCTCTGGGTTTTCTCTCCTACCTCTAAACTGTAACTTCTTCTCATTGTCTTTTCTCTACATGTGGTAGGCTTTCGAACTACAGTGCCTAGGACATTTTTGAGGAATTCTGGGTTTCATTACCGGAAAGAAATAAAATAAAATAATAAATAAGTCACTACTGTTGGTCTGAAGAAAAAAAACCCAAATACTTCAGTTAAATATGGATGTTCAGTGAATTATTAAGTTGCATTTCCTGGTCCATAGGTAACATCAAATGTTGTGCATGTTGCGAGCAACCTCCTTGAAGTCGATGACGAGGCTTTCAGCAGCTTACCCAACGGAGATTCTACATCCCGCATTGTACAAGCCCTCGAGACTCAAATCTCGTACGTTCTCGAAGATGGAGCGAACTTCACCGCCATTTCCCGTAGTCTCGCTGTCCAGGCGCTAAATATCCCTCCTAGTTCATTGGATGAAGGCGTGGGATTCGTTGTAATCGAAGGAGAGACTACGGATGGCGTCCTGACGAATAATAGTGTCAGTGTTTACTTTTCCGTCTCTGAATTTCCTCCAGAGACAGTGGAATCTTCCATACATCTCCCAGATGAGATTTTACTCAACCACCCAACAGGTTGGTATTAAAGAGGGCATGTTGGTTGCCTTGAGGCACCTCCAAACCCATTCTTTATTTAGTCTTCTCCATAGTTTTCAACTCTCCGCTCATTGTGTTTCTTTTTTTTTATTATTATTAACATTCAACAGCTTCTAGTCCGGTACCTATTAGCTTCATCGTGTATCAAACGAGCACGTTATTTCGTTCAAAACTGATTGCTGAAGCTGAGTCAACTGGTTCCCGTCTGTATGTGAATAGTGCAGTCATTTCTGCTACGGTGGCTGGTGTCCATATCGAGAACCTACCAGCAGATGATCCTGTGGTTGTTATCTTCTATCAGAATCCAGTAAGAATGCAAGTTATCTATCAGTACATTAATGCAGAAAAAAGTAAAGAATATCACCACAAACGCTGTGTGCGGATGGCGTGATCAGTATCTGAAATTACATTTAAGCCCAAATATTACAACAAAGACAACGTGTTTATCTACAAATCGCCACAGCCTGAACGTTGCTTGTATTGCTGCACAGGAAACTGCTTTATAAATGTGATTTGCCTTATCATTATTGGGAATAACCCCCACTTGACTTTTCCAGTTACATGCCACATCTTAAAGATCAAAATATTAAGACAAAATACGCTCTGCACAGCCAACGGCAGTGGAAAACGATCATCATTTTCTTCTACTTTTTTGGGTATTTTGTCTTCCTCACAAAAACGCATAGTGTGAAACTTGGATGCTTGGATACAAAAAGCAATTATATATCGATTTTTACATGATTTTTCTAGTACACTTAAGGCGTCGATTACTTACAACAAAGTTTTTTTGTCACAGTAGGTCACAAATATGAATGCACTGTTTTCGTTAAGTGGTTCCAAGCTTTTACAGAAACATTTTGTTTTCAGTTGATTGAAGGTGAAGGGGCGGAAGTGCAGTGCGTTTTCTGGGATAACCAACTTCAAGATGGAAACGGAGAATGGTCAACAGAGGGCTGTAGACAATTCACCTCAGTCAGCGAGAGGACTGTGTGTCACTGTAATCATACTACCAGCTTTGCAGTACTCGTGGTCAGATATTTAACCAATTATAAACACCTTATTTTTTACATAAAGAAACAAAAACTGGTCAAAACGTGGTTTAAAACCTACAAAATCACATGATCAGGAATGCACGCTGCCAACATTCACGATAAAAGTAATGAGTGCTTTCCAAAAAATACAGTCCAAGCATGACGGGCGGACTGGAATTCACGATCCCGATAGATCGTTACAACCAACCTTGCTTGGTCTGTCAGGTCAATCTCCACCTTTTAATCAAATAATGTTTGTCATGACAATTTACTCTTTTTACTGTTATCTCTATAGGATATTTCATTCCATTTTAACTTTCCTTCAAAAGAACCAACCAATGATCTATTGCTAATGAGTCTAAATTTATGCATCACATTTTTAGTTTTCTGCTCTTTTTAAGAATAGACTTTGATCCTTTTCAGGACATTCACGGCCAAAAATACTCGAGCTTAGCTCTCGATATCATCAGTAAGATTGGATGTGCAGTGTCGATTGCTTCCCTTGTTTTCACCATCATCATATACCTCGCCATCAAGTAAGAATGTGACTTCAATCAAATGCAGGAATTAAAGAGCATTTTTCGATTTCAAGTCAACTATAGGCGAAATTATACCCAATAATTATTATTGTACCGATACGAGAATTTATGATAAAAATTTTCTAAAAGCATTATTCTCCTATAAAGTACTGTACACAGTGGCGTGTTCATCCATGCGTAGACAAAACATTTTCATTGGGGAGCCTGGGTGGGGGTGCCGGGGGGGGGGGGGGTTGCACGAACATTTTCAGTGCGTCCACGGGGCTGCCTGGTACTGCATAAGTTGTAAGCGGCTAAAGTTGTAAGCGTGTTACCTATACGGAAATGATATCCACTTAACAGTCTCAATTTTCCCGGTAGGTCCCTGCGAGAGAAGACGCCAAGTCGCATCTTAGTTTGCTTCTCTTTCTCACTGCTCTGTCTCTATCTGGTCTTCCTGATTGGTATTGAGCAGACGTCTTCTCGCATAGGTTGCATCATCGTTGCTGTATTGATGCACTATTTCACTCTTAGCTCCATGGCATGGATGGGAGTCGAGGCAACCAACCTCTATCTGAAACTCGTTAGAGTCTTCAACTCTAACGTGGTACACTTCATGGTCAAGGCTTCTATCGCTGCATGGGGTGAGTGCTGAAACATTATTTTGAAACTCGTGGATATGACGTTTGTATTCATAATGTAAAGTGGTTTGGCGAATGTGATTTTAACAAGTGAGATAACGTGATCTTTGTGTGTCTGGATGGCAAGATTTGCACATGCATGGAGTAAGGCTGGTTTGCTACAGGAAATTATATTATTACTCTTTTTAGGATTGCCGGTGGTTATTATTGGAGTTATACTGGCGGTGGATTACACGGCTTATGAAAACAAAAACAGGTAAGAAAGACGTGGACACCAGCAGCATAAAACCTTTGGTAAGGAATCCGATTGGACTACCGCCCAGTGAACAGAAAGAACATTGAGAAATCGGAACGCCACCGAACGATGTTCGCAATGTCTTAGGTTCGTATCCCTCAACAGCGGGACTCGAACTTTATACCGTTTAAACATGAACCTAATTATAATTATAGAAAGTGAACCCTGTAAGTTTCGGTCTGAACTATAGTTTTTGGTATAATCCTTTCAAGTACCATGATTTATTCGATCGGATGCTTTGCACAATACTTTGCAGTAACATCGTACTTATGACGAACTCTTAAAACAAAAACCGAAATAGGTCTTAACTCGTCCTTTCAGTCGAATAACTTTGATTTTTATTAGAGGAACATGTCATAAAAATCACCGTTGTTTAATGTCGACTAAAAACCATAGGTAGTTAGGTACACAGATATCATATAAGTTAATTAAACTCATAAGACATAATTTAAATTTACAGTTGTTTCTTGAAGCCTGGCGCAGCCTTCTACTACGGTCAGCTACTCATGATCGGTCTGGTCTTCCTCTATAATGCCTTCATTTTCGTCCTGATCGCCCGTCGTTTGACCTGCAAGGCTAAAGTGATTCAAAGCTCCACTACGAAAGGCAAGCGAAGTCAAATGGCCAGGCGGCTGCAGAACATGGCATCTATCTCAGTGCTTCTCGGTCTTACCTGGGCCTTTGGTCTCCTCTCAGTCATCGAGTCTTCCAACTTCGCATTCCAAGTCCTTTTCTGCGTCTTCAACTCCCTGCAAGGCCTGTTCATCTTCCTGTTGTTCGTCCTCCGACAGGATAACATACGAAGCAAGATTCTTGGATTCTTTCAGAAGACACCAGCGCCAAGTGGAACCCTCTCCTCATCCGCACCCAATACCAAGTCACAGCCGAGATTCAATTATGTTGGTAATAGTGATAATGAGATACAGGAAAATGTCTTCGATAATCGGGCAATAAAGATGGATGAGATAGTAGATAAAGAAGAAAATGTCTCTGATAAGCAGGCTGGAGATCAATCGAAGAATGGTGAGAATGTAGAGATAGAAGATGATGTGCATGATAACCAGGCTACAAATCAACTTAAGGCGGATGTGATTGTAGAGAACGAAGATAATGTCTCTGATTAACTGAATATGGAAGTGAATGAAGTGGATGAGTCTAATGGGTATGACAACTAAACTGTATAATCAACGTACAATAAATAAGATTGTGCAAAAAGAAGAAAATAATGAACAGGTTATAGATCAGGTGATGTGAGGTTTATTTTTAATAGATCGTGTATTTACTCTCATTATTGGCAGCATTACAGGTACAATCACATTCTTAGCGGTCTTTAGCCTCTCGAGGGGGTGTAAAAATGGTATTAAACTTGGAGGATTCAGGACTGTTAAGATTTGTAGGTCATGATAATAAATTTGATACTTCAACTTATTTAGTTGTTTTGAAGATAAATGAATTAAGCGATTGCTGCGTAGGCCTGTTTCTGTCTTTCTTTCTTTAATCTTTTCCTTTTTTTGTAATCCCGATAAAGCAACATGTCCGGCTTTTTGTTCGGTTCACCGACAAGTCACAAGCGCTTCTATGATCCCAGCTTATAATTTGCAGTAATGCATTTGCTAAAGCTGAAGTGCAAGATCTTAAAGCCGACAAAGTATTAAACTACAAACACAAAACTTATAATTGTGAAGTATCCATCGAATGGGTTGCCCTGTACAGATTTTATAACAACTGCGTTGATAACAATATTTTCTATTCTACATATTTCTGCCCGAAAAGAATAGCAAGAAAACCTAAAACGGTGCTTTAAGAATGATAGTTGGCTTACAGCAGAAAAACTGTTTCATAAAAAGATCTGTGAGGTCAACTAAGTAACCTATTCGAATTATTTCTTAAATACAAAACTTATTAAAACTATTAATTTAAAAGAATATTGTAAATACGTATTACATTATACCTGTATCATTAGAAGTATTAGAAAACTGTACTTATTAGCAGTGATGCTTTGTCTGGATTATTATTCAGTTTTCGAAGGCCGGTTGTCTTTTTGGTGATAATCTTTCGATGCCCTAAAAATGAATATCTTGTATCAGGTGGCACTTGCGCCGAAATGTGAATTTTATATGAGGTTTTCCCTCAAAGCGCGAATCGACTTGCGGTTTATTACTGACGTATTACCGCTCGACCACCGTTCTTGCCTGGGACCACGCGGCGGCTGGTGGCTGGTGGCTGGGTTGAACCGGAGTAGCAGCGGGTACCGCAGCCTAGCCATTAAAGAGTAGATTTTAAAGTTGGGGAGATGAACATTGGTATTAATAGTGAATTGTTATATAGGTTTTCCCTGCCAATTTTGCATAGTGTTCGTTTAATTTGAAACATGTTCATTCAATTCCGTCAAGATTTTGAGAATCGCTCTGAATACTCGTTCATGTAAAATATAAGATTATTCGATTTTGATGTAGTTAAATCAATTGATGAATGTTTGTGTAGAACGTTTTGTTTGCGTTGAATAATACTCATAAATACGATTTCTTTAAAGTGTAACCAAGCCGACGAGAGATGGTGACAAAACTCTCAGTTGGAAACATTACATACACTGTGTGGACTTTCGAAAAAACTTGTACATTAATTTGAGTATACCTGCCGTCTACATGTACCTGCATGTACAAGGGATACATGAAGGCGTAGCCTGTGACAAGGGATCATGTTCGTTCCTTATGCAAGGCTTTTTTATACCCAGTATTCGCGTGGGGGGGGGCACACGTTAAAGAATGCTTCTGCTGGGAATGGGATCAGCCATCAATTTCTTTTGTAATGAGCAACATTGAACCTCAAACCCACTAAGCAACTTAAAGTGACAAGAACCGTTGACGAATTTAAACCCCGAAAAAAAGGAATGCGAATTGAAGTCACATTGATATGGAAAAAAGTAAAACACGCTTTACAGAGATTATATTTCCAAAATAATTAATTGTATCAATATGACAATTTGACGATAATTAGTGGTGATATACTGACATAAATATCTACGGAAATCTGGGAAGAAAGAAATAAAAGATAATAAAACAACTTACAGTGTTTGGACGCTCCGTACGTAGTTTTTGCTACCGTCGATTTCTTTCAAAATAGGGCGTCCTACATAAACACTGGTCTGCACCTTTAAGACTTTTGTTTAATGTAGATGACAATCTGCGAACAATACAATTTTTTTTTTAAACATAATGACTGTAGAATAACACATCGCATTTAATGAAAATTGCGTCCGATAATTGACCTTGATATTTTACACAAGTTTGGAAATCGGATGAGAACCAGTCCAGAATAAATTGAATATGATTTACGAAAATATGGTGTTCAAGTTAATCATGACAACTTCATAACGAAGCTAAGTCACTTTTTATTGAACAAAAACAGAACACTCCTTCTAGAGACAATAACTGCAGAATAACGCATCGCATTTTTTGACACAGAAAGTAAGAATCTTGTCAGGACGTAGATTAAAATAATGTAATTTTATTTAGTGTTTTAATCGCAAAAACAATTGATTGCGAAATAGTCACTTTTAATTGAACACGCTATTTATGGAGACAATAACTCCAGAATAATAGATATTGATATGAAAATATTGTTCGATAAGTAGTCGTCACGTAATGACCTAAACAAAAATACCTAGACGGAAATCTTGAAGGAAAAAAATACGCGACAATAAAGCAAAAAAGTGTCGACGCTACGTATATCAAAATTGCTTTCATCAATTTCTTCCTAAAGAGGAAGACGTCTGTCAATATGTGTCACGATGTGCCCATTTGACAAAAATACGACACTCTTTCTAAAGATAACCCTGCAGAAGAACTTGCACCGCATTATTGTCCGTGATATTTGACGCAACATGATTGAAAATGGAATAGAACCGTGCGAAAATATTATGCGATATGATTGAAAGAAAACAGTATTTTTATCGTGACAAATAATCTTTCACTTTTGAATGAAATTTTGGAAAATATTTAGTGGCAATGTAATGATTGAAAAACAAAATCGACGGAAATCTTAAACGAAAAAAAAAATAACCACTATTTGGCCAAAAAAAAGTCTCCGGTTTCTGATATGCGCGCGCGTCGCCGTAGCCATGCGCGTCGGCAAAATGGAAAAGTTTTTCTTTTCACTGAAAGATGTCTCAAAACCGCCAACTGGTTTGACTGGAATCCTGCTATTGCACAATTTTAACGTGTTTTTAGATTGGGTTATAGTCGAGAATAAGCTTTATGTGGCCTCTCTGGACTCCCGAATATTTGCACTAAGTTTAGTCGGACACCATTTGCAGTCATCAGCCGACATTTGAAGCAAAAAAATCAGGTAAAAAAAAAAAAAGCCGCGTCGCCGCACCACTTTTGGGCAAGAACCATACCGGAAACCGGAAACTTTTTTTGGCCTTTGTTGATGGTGCCGATATCTTAAGAAAAATGCGTTGAATTTGCCACTACAGCGTGTAAGCACAAACCGTATTTCTGTTGTCATCAATTTCTTCCAACAGAGGGTGCACTACTAAGTCTAAAAATGTCCTACTTTGGATCAATAATAACTTTGTTGTTTTCTAATGGAGTTAAACTAAATTTTTGATGATGTTCACGAGGAATTACATTTTTATTAAGCGATTTTCATCAGTTTTGTACGAGAAGGTATGATTTAAACACCATCCGAAAATACTCACTTTCAGAATTTGCTACAGTTGACTTGGCGTCCCCAAATGTCCATGCAGCGCTGGACACCAAGCTGAAGCCCGTGCTGGTTTGAAGCTTCTGGAGGAATGCAGAATCACCTCTGGTTTCGTTGCAAATGATCTAGAACAATCCAGGAAGTGTGCAAAATAGTGTATTAATCGCGAAACTTCCAATTCGCATTAAAGTCACTTTTATTTGAAGACAATAAATGAAGAAAACATATTCCAATATTTGATCATGATATTATGTAACCGGGGAGAGTGGGATTTATTAGTTTTAAAATGTGGCACTCTCCTTACAACCGAGTGGTTCCACTAAAAATAATTTGGGTGGAGCGAAGTTTTCTGTTAGTCTCAATAATATCAAATGTTTTATTTACAGCACAAATATGAGACAATATATATACAAATTATTAGGTATTTACAAAAGAATTACAGTATATAAATAAACTTTGGGTATATCAAACGAACTTTGTTGAGTCTATAAAAACGACAGTCAAAAAGGGAAAATAGGCTAATGAAGTTGCTCCAAGGATAGTATCTGAAATGCATAAAAACAATAAATGACTTATGAATTATGGGAATAACTTCCATATCAAAATACATTATTAACGATATTTAATTCAAAGAAATTTGGGAAAAACTGGTTTCCTTATTTGTAAATCAAAACACTTTTTTATACATGCAGGAATTAAATAGAGAATCATTAGGGAAAAAACTGATTCTCAAAAATACTTGCAAATCACGACAACAGATTGATTTCAAAAGTTAATCAGTCGTGATCGCAAGGCAAATTTCCGGCCGTGTCCGTTTTGACGGCCTTAATTTCTGGCAATAAACAAAGCATACAAAAGACAACAATGTTGCATAAATGATGGCATTAAAAGATTCAGGCATAAAAAGGTTTTAGGCATAAAAAGGTTTTGGCATAAAAAGCGAAATATCAGACAAGGGATTTACTCACCACTTGGGATGGTCTACGTTCATGCCTTCTCCGTGTCCGATGTCAAAATCGAAGATCAGCAGTTAAAATAGGTAAAAATATTACTGCTATCAGGGAGCCTCACTCAAAATTTGTAGATAAAAGTGGAGAGTGTAAGAGCTCGCAAAATGATGGTTTGAACGCAACAAGGTGTTGGATCGAAATCAAAGTTATTTCACAGCTAGCCTTACAAGAAAACTAACCGCAACGCCCGGAATGTTAGCTATTTCTCTTCAACAAAGCGCGGTGGAATGCAAAACTCGCCTGCTCGCTACGCCCATTGCATAGTTGAGCAAAATTAATTCTAGGCGGCGCGCGCTGTAAAAAAAAAGTTTGGTTGGCCGCGAGAGGGCGCTAGGCAAAAAGCATGATCGCAATGGCTGCTCACATGTGAATCGACACAAACACGAAATTACAAAAGTTATGAAATGAATGCTGGAGTACATGGAGTAAGGAACCTGTCGGGTAAAAGTAAGTACTGAAACCCGACCTGGTTACAAATATAACATAAAAAAGATTGTAACAAATTGATGGGAACCGTGGCAAACCCAAAAAAACATTGCAACATTAAAAACTAAACTATGTTACCACCATAAAATCTAATCGACAATGCGGACCGTGACATGCCCAGTTAAGGTAATAACCATTGAGCTAGAAGTAGGAGAAAAACAATTCCCAGTCGTAATCACAAAATGCATTGAGCTAGAAGTAGGAGAAAAACAATTCCCAGTCATAATCACAAAGATGTTACCGAGTTATTGACAAACGAAAGAGTCCCATATTACAAGAAGGAACTTACGGTCTGAACAACAGGTTCGCCCTTTAGCAAAGGAAGTCGTAGTCAACACGACGAGGGTAACACTGCAATAGCTGTGAACTGAAGGCACCCTGCGCTGCTGCGGATGACTGGTTCGAAAAATAGAGCGTACTTCCATGATTCTAAACA